CATCGAGAACGACTCGAGAGGAACGTTTAGAGAGAGAGAGAGAGAGAGAGAATGGGAAAGGATCCCTCGAGGGTTTCATCGACAAGGTTACAGACAGACATAATTACCCTGCATGGTGAGATGGCGCGAATAGAAGACGGCAAGTACGGTGTCTGCTACGTTTAAGAACCAAAGCGTGGCCTCCCTGTTGACGAGCAACGGGGATCCACGTCTACGAGGCACGATGAATATGCAAAATTGTCGGTCTCACGAAGCATATCCAACGGCACGACCAGCGGCACTGCCTATGTTTCATGCATTCAGATGCCCTTCTTACCATCGTGTAGCCGTCCAGCTTGGCCGTGGAACAGTTGAACAATGTCGCCGGCTGTCGCGTTCATTAGGTTAGGCCGTTTAAAAAAGTCGCTCGACATTTCACGCGGAATTCCCACTACGAGCCACTGCCATGCAAATCTCGCTCAATTCGCGCGTACACGGGGAAACTCTTAAAGCCTTTTATAGCGTGCCTCTAAGACTGAATTCGTGGCCTGAAAGTCAGAGTGCCACTATATTCTTCGCTGTAGGTATTACGACGCGACATTTCTCGCGGTTTTACGTGTTACACACAGACACACGCGCACGCGCGCGCGCGTGTGTTGTGTAATAATTGCGCATGCGCGCAAGTATGCGTGCGTACGTAGGGCTGTGTGCAGCTTTTTAACCTCTTTTCGAGAGGCTCCTGCAGACTGATTTATGTTTACGGGGGACGAGAGAGGGAGATGGAATTCGGTGACCGCTTAACTCGCTCTCGTTCTTTCGCCATTCTTGGAAACCTGTTTGCGTTATCGTCGCGAAGGAACTTTACTCGATGTTCTTTGAATTCGATTAAAGAATTCTTGAGCTGACTTGGACTCCGACTAACGATAGTTTGGTTTTAATAAGTGGTTTAAGTCACGAAACGGAGGATTGTCGCGAGATAAGTGGAAATCCATTTTGGGAATTAGGTTGATTGATTTAGTTATTAGAATTGGAATATTCCTCACCCTCTTTTTTCTTTGTTATCGTAAGAATGCGTATTATTCGGATTTTATCAGCAAAAAAATGTTTTCAATAGTTCAAGGTGAAATAAGATTTTTCTTTTTTTGCCCGATAAATTTCTTTCAAGATATCAAACTTCAAGTATCGATCGTAAGTTCGAAATCGGTTAATAAATCCCGAGGAACGCACAGAGTCGACTGAAACAATCTCATTCCCGGGATCTGGCTCCCACTTTTGTCCAGGAAATTAGAGTCATCGCGGCGTTGTTTGCCCGACGAGAGGCAACGGCGTCATATTTCACGCACGAGCGAAACTTGAGAATCGTAATTGAACGCGAGAGGTGGGAGGAGGGAAGATTCGTTGGACACATCCGACGTCAAGACGAGCACGGGTATTAGAGAAAAAGTTATTCTTATTACCCAGGCCGGGCCACACGTGTATATTATTGCCAAGAAGTTGTCGACAACGGGTCAACCAAAACTTTTTCGATACTTTCTTAACGACAATCTCGCGTACCTTTTATAAGTTAGCACAGACATGCATTATGTAGGGTTCGTTCGTCTTTGATGAATGTCTATGGCGCTAGTTGTTTCTTCTTATTTCTTACTTAACGTTTAAACTAATTCGACAGTGTTATCAATCTTGATATGGAGGTTATCAATCTTGATATACGTAAATCATTGAATAAATATATTTACCAATTATTTTGTAAAAAAAATTTTAAAAATATATAACTTTATGTGTAAAAATTAATATTTTCCATTTTGAGAATGATTAACGTCTTTCTTATCGGATCAAAAATATTTTCTTACGATATAGATAACGAAAAGATGATCCTAAAAGCAAGATCTATCAAATAGGTGCCCTTACGAGGTAACCTCTTTCGAGGAAATATTCGAGCAAAGAATGGGGAAGTAGTTGGGGACATTATGTGGACCGTTTCATAAAAGAACGGATGGTCCCTCTTTTTCTTTATATACAAAGCCTAAAGTTTTACATCGTGGAAAAGATACACGGCATCAGGTATATAGTCAGCAACTCCGCGACAGGAGTTCCGCGTAAAAGTTTTTATATTGTACAAGACTGTCATATTATCGACCGTTAATGCCACGTGTTATAAGTTATAGCAATAAGAGTGGCCTACGGTTGAGTAGTCCGCGTTTATGGCTCCTTATGAAAATGTTCTATTAAAAGGTTGGATGCTATTCTTAATATGTGAAACGAACGGTGGAAGGACAATGATCGTAAATGCATCATAAAGCGTTTTATTCGCCACATCATGCAGAATTGACATCGTTTCTTTTTTTTTTTCAGTTTGAAGAGAATTTTTTTGAAATTGAAATAAATTCAAATTTTTATTTTCTTAGTTAAAATTCTTTTTAAACTACGGTTAATAAATTTCGATTAATTTTTCAATTCCGTTAAATATTACTTCTTAGGATTCTCTTAAATCAATTAACTTTCTAAAAGTTCAAATAAAGGAAATACAGTTTTTCGAAATTTCACTGACTCGCAAGTTGAATAAAATATGTTTCTGATAAGAGAAAGAAGGAGTAGAATTCATTAATTCGATAGTTTTCCAATTCACTTACGGTTTGACAAGTCCACCACCACTTTCTGGGCGCGCTTGCACGCGAGCGAAGAAGGAGTAGTCTGAAGGGTCGGTGAAACAAAACATCGTAAAGCACCCTCTTGTCTGTAGAGGATGCGACCTTTTAGCCAGGCATTCAGGCAAGTGAGAAAAGTGGCTGTTAGATGTGGCCGGCGATGCATAAGAACGTGTTTTCAGGGGATGGCTTATCCCCGGCATTTAAATTTATTTAAAGTAACGTTTGATGGTATGCAACAGACAGGATATGCAAAATACTCTCCAAATTAATGTTCTTTTTATTATCGTTATATTATTTTTCAAACATGTTTATTGATTATTATCAAAATTTGATGATATTCAAAATTTTTTTTTATATATATAGGATGAATTATTTCAGGATTACTATTTTTTTCTTTTCTTTTGTAGAATATAAAAGTGCGTTTTAATTGTACGTTTTTTTTTATTTTTTAAAATAAGATCAGTATAAAATAATAGTGCAATGAAATATTTGACGATGAAATGTTTAGAAGTTTTTAGACATTTTTATTTTTTGGCTCGTTTTTTGTAAATAAACAATTCGGACAGATCCAGAATAACAGATACACAATATCCCATTCAGAGTTATCAAAAATGATCGTGTCATCCTGTACATAATAT